TGAAGTCCTCCTCGAAGCACTTTCGGTTGAGCAGGAATTCTGGCCCCTCTGTGTAACTGTAAAGCTCTGCCAAGAGAGGGGAAGCTCCAAAAACCTGCACAGCTGCAACTTGGGAACTGCAGTTTTAGCCTCAAATACTCAAAATTCCCCCAAAAAACACCACCCAGCAGAAGGCTAAAAACATTCCCTAAATTAATCCTTTCCCTTTTAACATCCATCAGGTGTTTAAGGATAATGATGGAGCTGAGAGAGCTCCTCTAATTGTCCCAGCAGAGGAAGTCACTGGTTAATTGACTCATCCCGAGAATTCCTCACCTGACAGCTCTGCTGCCCATTTATCCGTGTCTGCATATTCGAACTCCAGGTCCGGAGACTCGGAATAGCCCTGAAAATAGCCGGGAAAAACCAACTCAGCTGCAGCACATCCCAGGGAAAACCCCGAGCAGCCACAGTTCACCTCGTCCTCCTGCAAATCCAGGGCTGTTTTTCCCGGTTTAGGGACCAGGAATGTCCCTGCAGCAGCACAAACGTTACCGAGGCAACTCCAGCCCATCCCCTCCTCCCTGCGGCTCCATCCAGGATGCGCCGCAGGGATCGCCCGGCTGGAGCCGCTGCAGCACCCCCAGAACGCCGCAAACACCCCCGGAACGCCCCAAAATGCTCTCAGAACAACCCCAAACACCCCCTCAAAACATTGAGGGAACCCCCAGAGCTCAATAAAAACGGCAGGAGACGGGGAGGGAATTCTGTGGGATCAGAAAACAGGTCCCATGGGATCAGGGAGCTCTCAGAGCTCCCACGTTTCCCACAGAATTGGAAAAAATTCGGGCTATCCCTGCCTGCCCCCACCCCGTGGCTCCTCCCAGCAGGATTAGTGAGGATGGAACTACTCCAAACACTTTGGAGAGGTGGGATAAACACCCAGGAGAAGCTTCAGAGCACAAAATATCAGCTCCCTTCAGGGCGGCATCAACGCAGGCCCAGAGAATTTCGGGGATTCCAGCCCTGAGTGGGGCAGAAGTCTCCTGAATTTCGGGGCACCCGGACCCACAGCAAAACCCTCTCCTAAATTTCGGGGCACCCACCCCTGCGGGAGAGGCAGATCCACAGTAAAACCACCTGAATTTCGGGGCACCCACCCCTGAGGGGAAGGCAGAGCCACGGCAGGATTTTGGGGCACCCGCTCTGAGCGAGGGGCAGACCCAGAGCAGACCCCTCGGGGGGAATTCGGACCCCTCTTCCCGGATCCATCCCTGCTCCGGGCCGGGAACACCGGGAGAGCCCCGGGACGGGCTGGGAGAGCCCCGGGATTGGGTTCCTGGGGCCGAGCCACCATCGCGGTCACACCGGGATGGGATGGACGGGAACCGGCACCGACCCCGGGCTCCGGCCCCGCTGCCACCGCGGCTCGGGGGGCACCGGGACCGCCCCTGGCCATCGGTACCGGAGCCGGTTCCGGCACAGCGGCTGCTCCGGGGCTGACCGGGAGGAAGGCGGTGACCAAAGAGGGGCTGGAAACACCGCCCAGGTACCGGCACCGGCACCCACGGACAGCGGCACCGCCGGACACACGGACAGCCCTGGCACGGCCACACCGGCACCGTCAAACACCAGACACACCGGCTCTGCCCTGGCACGGGCACCCCCTCAGCCACCGGCACGGCCGGGCAGGCCCCGCCGAGCCCCGGCGCGGCCGGCCCCGCGCGGGCAGCGCCTCCCCGCTGACCTCGGAGTCCTTCCTGGGCGGGCGGGCCATGTCGCGGCCCCGGTTGGGCGCGGCGGCCCCGCCGCGGGCCCTGTTGTTGTTGTTGTTGTTGCCCGGAGCCGCTGCCGGAGCCGCTGCCGGGCCCGGCCCGGGGCCGCCGCCCGCCTCCATGGCGGCCGCTCCGCCGCCAGCTCTCGCGAGGACTCACCCCCTCCTCTCGCGGGAGCGGCAGCGACAGCCGGGGCAGCGCCGCCGCCATGTTGGGAGTGGCGCCGCGGTGGCGCTCGGTGTGTCCGGTGGGGTGGGATGCGGCTCCGCCGCCGCTTTCGCCGCCTCGTCGAGGCCGCCGCGTCACGGCCCGGCCCTGCCCGCCCCCGCCGGCCGCGGGCGGCGCGGCGACCGGGGCAAACGGGGCTCCGCCCCCGCGCCGCCATACTGGGAGTGGCGCGGCAATGGGCGCCGCCATGCTGGGAGCGGCACTTCCGCCCCACGTGCCCCCGGCCGCTGGAGGCCGCCATGTTGGGAGGGGCGGGGGGGAGATCCCAAATTTGAGGGATTTAATTTAAATCCCTCAATTTGAATTGAGGGAATTCTCAAATCAAGGGGCTTGGGGGGCTCAGACCCCAAAGAGGGCGGGCCTGGCAGTGCTCGGAAGGGACCCAGACCCCAGCAGAGGGACCTGATGGTGTCTGAAGCCCAAGTGAAAGTGCCCAAGGTGGGGGTGAGACCCCAAAATTCCACCTTTTTAACGATGCTCAGGGAGTTCTGCTGGGACCCAAAATCCACCTGGAGGTGGCCCAAGGCAGGTCCCATTCCCTACTCAGACACAGCTCAGGGTCCCCCCACCACGACACCAAATAAACCCTCGGGAACCACGAGCGCTCGGCTTTTCCTAATAGTTTAATTCGATTTAATGATTTATTGCTCATCTGCGAGGATTAATATTGCATTCATTAAAAATCATTCATATACAAAATAAACCTCTCCCTGCTGCTGCTGCTGCTGCCCCCGGGCCCCCTCCCCTTGCCATGGCTTGTCCAGACACGGAGCCCTTTGCGCCCCAAAAAGGTGGGAAAAGGGGGATGGGGGGATGCCGGGATTCCCAAACGTGGGAGAATCCCGGGAAAGGGGGGATGCTCCCACTCCCAGTCCATCCTCACAGATGCTCACTGAGCCCTCCCAGTGAGGTTTGGGGCAGGGGGGGTGGAGGGGAACGTGACCCCCGAAATCTCCGGGGAAGGCGAGGAGGGCGATCCCCAAAATCTACGGAGCGACCCAGCAACATTCCAGGGTGGGAAGGGGATGAGAGGGGGGGGATCCACCAGCACCTCTGCCATCCCCCCTCCTGTCCCCAGCCCTGCAAATTCCCTGGAGGATCCCAGGGCTGGGGGGAAGGAGCAGCTCCAATCCCGGTTCCGCAGCATCTCCATGATCCCTGTACCGGGAGATGCCGGGATTGGGGGCTGTTCCCACCCCTCCCAGGGGCTGGAGCAAGGAAAGAGGCGGATTGGGGAGGAGAAAAAGAGGCAAGAGAAACCCTCCCGGGCTTGGAAGGAGCTTCTTCCACCCCCGGGAAAAGCTGTGGGAATGGGGGAGGGAAATGTCAGCTGGAGAGGGGGGAAGGGGCTGGAAAACAGCCGGGAAAGAGGCTGGAAAACAGCCACGAGAGAGCTGGGAGAGCCCTGGGTGTGGGGAAGGCTCATCTCTGCATCCAGCTGGGAAAAAAAATTAGGGAATACCCCCAAAAAACCCCTCCCCAGGCCACCTGAAAGCTCCTCCCCCCCTCCACCACCTCGGTGCTTCCCGGTGTGTGGGGGAGAGACAGGAAAGCAGCCACATCCTGGGAAAACATCCCCTTGGAACATCCCCACTCTGGAAAACAGCTCTGGAAGGATGGAGAAGGAAAAGAGGAAGCGAAAAAAAACACCAAACACCACGACTGAACAAAGAAAAAAGAAAGAAAAAAAAAAGGTTTAAAACTCAATTAAGGTGCAGTTTGGCTAAAAAAAAACAAAAACAAAAGGAAAAAAAAGAAAAATTGGGAGAGATGAGGATAATGCTGGGAAAAGCGACCCCCATCCGGATTCAAGATTAGCACCCTGAAAAAACTTCCCCTCCCCTCCCTCCCCTCTTCCCCCCCCCAAAGCCCCAGGTGGCCACCAAAGCCGGGTCTGTGGCCACCAAAGCCGGGCCCAAAGCCTGGGGACCCCCCCAGCCCCTTCCAGGTGCCCTGCAGGCCCCGCTCTGCTCCCGGGAAGCGCCCGGAGCAGGGATCTAGCAGCTAAAACTGGGCTCTTTAAGGCAATTGAAGAAGTTGCAGAAATTCCACACAAAGAAAAAGGAAAAGGAATTAAAAAAGGAGCATCTCCGGATCCGCAGGGGAGACCGAGGAGGGGAAGAAAACCCCGAAGGGAGAGGGGAAAATAAACCCACTTTGCTGCAGGAATGAAGTGCCCTGGGAAGAGCAGGAGAGGGGGGAAAAACCTCTCCCGAATCCAGGGCTGGGGAATCAACAGGCTCCAGCACATGGAAGCAAGAAGCAAATGCCAGGTTTGTGTGGTGAGGTCAGGCTGAGATGTGGGAAAAGGAGGAGGGGGGGGAAGAGAAATCCTGGCCTTGAAATCACCGAGAAATGTAAAAACAGGGGGGAAAAAAAATGGGGTTTGGGGGAAAGGAGGAAAAGGAACAATACAAAAAAAAAAAAAAAAAAAAGGTAAACCAAAATAAAAATGATTTTTAAAAATAATCTCTCGAATGTTGCCTTGTGTGGTCTGGTCCTTCTGGGAATGGTCCATCAGTATCTAGGAGAGAAGGGGCACAGTGAGAGGGCTGGAACACAGATCCCAGGAGCTGAGGCTGTGCCAGGGGATCCCAAATCATGGAATTCCAGATTGGTTTGGGTGGGGAGGGACACCTCCCACCAGCCCAGGCTGCTCCAAGCCCTGTCCAACCCGGCCTTGGACGCTTCCAGGGATTCAAGGGTAGCCACAGCTTCTCTGGGAATTCTCTTCCAGCACCTCCCCACTCTCCCTGGGAAGAATTCCTCCCAATATCCCATCTAACCCCTGGCAGTGGGAAGCCATTCCCTGTGTCCTGTCCCTCCATCCCTTATCCCCAGTCCCTCTCCAGCTCTCCTGGAGCCCCTTCAGGCCCTGCAAGGGGCTCTGAGGTCTCCCTGGATCCTTCCCTTCTCCAGGCTGAGCATTCCCAGCTCTCCCAGCCCTCGGAGCATCTCCCTGTGTTCACTCCAGCAGCTCCAGCGTGGATGTGGAGGTGGCAGCTGCTCCCAGGCCCCTCACCTGTAGTAGTTGGGTTTGAAAGGGCCGTTCTTGTTGAGCCCCAGGTACTTGGCCTGGTCGTCCGTGAGCTCCGTCAGGTGGGCGTCGAACGAGGGCAGGTGCAGGCTGGCCACGTACTCATCTGGGAATGGGGCAGGGAAAACGGGATCAGGGGGGGCCCAAACACCCCCCCCAACCCCATCCCCATCCCCGGGGGGAGCTGAGGGGTGGAGTCACCACCCCATCATCACCCGCACGGAGCCGCCGCCACCCGAAGCCTGGAGAGGAGAGCTGAGCCCAAGCCCCCAAAAGGCACCAGGATGGCATGGAAAACCCTGGAAATACCCCTGGAGGAGGGAGGCACAGGCAGAAGGGACGCCTCCCACGCTGCAGGACCCCAAGGGATATCAATCAAACCGCCCCCAACCCTGTCCTAGGGGGCCTAAACCTTTCCAAGTCGCTGCCTCTGCTCGTTTCCCTCAACCCTCCTCCCTCTGGAAGTGTTTCCCAGAGTTTTTTTCCTGGCATCCCACACTGCTGGCACACAGAATTCCCCAAGGAATTCTCCACTCACCCATCTTCTTGGGCAGCAGGTAAACGTCCTGCTTGTAGCGGCCCTCGGGAGCGTTGTAGAGCTCAATCAGAGCCAGAGCCTGTGGAGAGCACAGGGATAATCTGGGAATGCTCAGGGACAGCCCAGGAACACCCAGGGATGGCCACAGCAGCACAGACAAGGATTTGGGAGCCACAAGGAGGGCACAACCCTTTCCAAGTTCCCAGCTCAGGGCATGTCCAGCCCCTTCTGGGGCTCCAGAATCCCTCTGGGAAGGGGGGCAGGATCAGGGAGGAGGGGATGATTGTGAGTCCCTGCATGTTCCCAACCCCACCAGTCCCCTCTGTGTTCCCAATCCCACCAGTCTCCTCCCTGTTCCCAGTCCCAGCGGTGTCCAAGTTCCCAACCTCTCCAATCTCCTCCATGTTCCCAGCCCCACCAGTCCCCTCCCTGTTCCCAACCCTTCCAGTCCCCTCCAGTCCCACCAGTTCCCTTCCATGTTCCCAGTCCCACCAGCCTTGCTTTGAGGTAAGCCTAAACCTGGTTTAAGGGGCCTAAACCTGTTCTAGGGAGCTTAAACCTCTGCTGAGGAGCTTAAATCTGTGCTTGGGGGCTGAAACCTGTGCTGGGAGGGGCCTAAACTTGTGCTAGAGGGGTCTAAGCCCATCTCCCAGCCCAGCAGGAGCTGTGCCATGAAATCCGGGTCATTTCAAAGCTCTCCCCAAAACTTCCTGCACCCAAAAGGCCGAGTTCACACTCCCATCAACTCCAGCCCAGGGAAGAGGTGGTTCCTGTGGCATTCCAAGGCCCCAGCCCAGGGTGTTCCCAAAGAATCCTCCCACCCTGAGGGCCCCTCCTGGGCACAGACCTGAGTGGTGGCTGTGATGGAGAGGACGAAGGTGGGAACTGTGGAGCAGCTCAGGTTGAGCAGCCGGCCCTGGGGGAGAGCAGGAGTCACCCCAAATCCAAACCCAGCCGACATTCCAGGCGGGATTCACCTCCACCCCCTCCCAAAGGGCCCCCTTTGTGGCCAGAGCACCCCAATTCTGTCCCAGCTCCCACCCCAACCCTGAGCTAAAAGGCTGGGGAGTGCTGTGGTTTTTTCCAAAACCAGTCCCTCCCTCCTGCCAGAGCAGCTCCAGTGGGAAGACGAGCCAGATTCCTGCCTGGGAATCCCTGGCACAGCTGGAGCAGGGGGGTTTGGCTGAGGGATGGCTCCCAGCTCGTTCCAACAGCCCCAGCCGTGGCTGCCCGTGGGATGGGACACGCCCCCGCCTCCGGGAGAGGACGTCCAAAATAATAAAAAAGAACAAATCCAATAATAAACCCTTTCCTGAGCCCTGAAGCTCCTCCCCAGCGCTTTTCCACCTGGCCAAACCCACGATTTCCCGCCGGGAATCGCGGCCCAGCTCCAGGCAACACACACAGACCTCAGCCAGCAGCACCACCCGCTTCCCGTCGGGCCAGATGACGTGATCCACCTGGGAACGCACCTCGCTCCCAGGTCAGCTCCGGGGTCCTCAGGCTGGTCTGCAAGAGGAGGAGGAGGAGCTGGAGCCACGGGAGGAGGAGGAGCAGGGGCGGGAACAGCCCGAGGGGCCGGGACTCACCACGTCGATCTCGGTGTTGGAGTGGCCCATGTTGCAGACGATGCAGCTGTTCTTCATCCGGTCCAGGTGCTCCCGGGTCACCACGTTCTTGTTCCCTGCAGGGACAGCGAAAACGACCCCGCTGGATCCTCCCTCCCTCCCTGAAACTCCATCTGGAGGAGCTCAGTTTGGGGCGGCACCTGATGAACTTCCCACCAGGACGAGGCTCCTGGTTGGGACAGGGAGGAACGCATGGGACGGGTGTTGTCGTGGGATGTGCTGAGCTGGAGGGGACCCACAGGGATCAGCCACCCCTGGCCCTGCCCAGGACACCCCAAAATCCCACCCTGTCCCTGAGGGTGTTACCCAAACCCCCTGGAGCTCTGGCAGCCTTGGGGCCGTGACCATTCCCTGGGGGAAGAGCCATTCCCTGAGATCCAACCTGGCCCTGCCCTGGCACAGCTCCAGCCCTGCCCTGAGCCCTGTCCCTGCTCACACAGAGCAGAGATCCGAGCTGCAGAACCCCAAATCTTTGATCTTTTGTCCCATGAATTAACCAGGAGACCCCCAAATCCCCTCAGGACACTGGGATGTCCCTCCATCCCTGGCACATGGGACCGTGGCCAAATATCAGAGTGGGGAGGAGGAGGAGGAAGAGCTCTTTCCAAAGCCCAGCTATTGCTCCTGGAAAATAAGGAGCACACAGCAGCAAAGTGTCCTTGGGAGTTCCCTTGGGAATGGCCTCCTCCAGCCCTACCTGTGCAGGTGATGACCACATCCACCTGACGGATCACTTCGCTCAGCTTCACCACCCGAAATCCATCCATGCTGGAACCAACAGGGAGAGAGGGATCACAGCCAGCAGGAGAAGCCTCTTCCCTCCCCACCCACCGGGCCAGGAGGGAATCCCACAGCTCAAAACTGCTCCTGCCCAGCCAGGGAATCCTCCACCCCCTCAGGAACAGTGGCTGCACGAGGAAGGGTGTGCAGTGGATGTCCGAGCTGCCCCTCCAAACACCTCACACCCCTCAACAGCTCCTACCAAAACAACCGGCTATGGAAACATCTCCCACTCTTGATTCCAGTGTTTTACCCTCTTATTTCCAAAGGAGCAGCTTCCCCAGGCCAGCCAGGGAACACCTTCTGTGTGGGACCCACCCCAAAATCCACCCCGTCACACTCCAACAAGGTGTTTATTCCCCCAAAAACGATCCCCAGGTCATCCTGGCTCTGTTCCAGCCTCTGGGAAGGGTTTGGAAGAGGCTGGAGAGCAGCTGGAGAGACACTCCCAGGCAGCAGGGAGCCCCTTACCAGGCCTGGAGGGCGCAGATGGGGTCGATCTCGGTGACGTACACGATGGCCCCCAGGGCCTTGAGGGCGGCACAGCAGCCCTTCCCCACCTGCAGAGATCAGTGTGAGGGGGGCACGGCCACAGCCCCTTCCCAACCCATCCCAGGCTGCCAGATCCTCATCCCAACCCTCTGCCCGGTGCCAGGGGCAGCTCAGGATGGACCTGGAGAGTGGCACAGCAGACACAAGCCCAGCTCCAACCCCCCCTGTCAAGGTTTCCAGCTTCCCACTGCCAGAGGGCAGGGTTGGGTGGGATACTGGGAGGGAATTCCTCCTCCTCCTCCTCCCTGTGAGGGGCTGGGGTGGATTTTCTCCATCCCTGGAAGTGTCCAAGGCTGGGCTGGATGGGGCTTGGAGCAACCTGGGCTAGTGGAAGGTGTCCCTGCCCATGGCAGGGGGTAGAAGTGGATGAGCTTTAAGGTCCCTTCCCACCCAAACCCATTTGGGATTCCAGGATTTGGAGCCCCTCTGCTCTGGAGCCAGGCTGGGAGAGTTGGGAATGTTCACCTGGAGAAGGGAAGGCTCCAGGGACACCTTGGGGCCCCTTCCAGGGCCTAAAGGGGCTCCAGGAGAGCTGGAGAGGGATTTGGGACAAGGGATGGAGGGACAGGACACAGAGAATGGCTTCCCACTGCCAGAGGGCAGGGCTAGATGGAATACTGGGAAGAAATCTTTCCCTGTCAGGGCACTGAGGGGCTGGGATGGAATTCCCAGAGAAGCTGTGGCTGCCTCATCCCTCGAAGTGTCCAAGGACAGACTGGACAGGGCTTGGGGCAACCTGGGCTAGTGGGAGATGTCCCTGCCCACGGCAGGAATGAGGTGAGCGTTCAGGTCCCTTCCAACCCAAACCATCCCAGGATTCCATGGCTCCACAACTCCCTTGCTTTGAAGAAGTCCAGTAAAACTCAGGACAGGCCATGGGGACAACCCCTGGAGAGCAGCCCAGAGCCCTAGTGGGGCAGAGCTGGGCTCTGCTGGTGCCTCAATAAATCAGGGAGCAGAATTCCTGCTGGGAAGAGCCTCTGCAGCTCCTGCCAGGCCCTGCACAGCGTGGGAAGACAAACACCCACACAGACACGCACAGATGGAGGGAAGGTGGCAGCTCCCTGCAGTTCCAGGGCAGAATCAGTGACAAGCCTGTGAGATGATCCCCCTCTGCCAGAGCATTATTCCCAGCCTGTCCCTGCTCGGTGACAGCCAGGCTGGAGCTGAACTGGGGCCAGGGAGAGCAGATGGAGCCCCGTGGGGAGCTGTGACTCAGGCCAGTGTTCCCAGCAGTGTCAGCTGTGCAGCCCCAGCTAATCTGCAGCAAACTGGGAAAGCTGAGCCCTGACCTGCAGCGAGATTTCCCTGGTAATCAGTGCCCAGCTTGGATCCACTCCTCCTGGCAAGGACAATGGGGGGATCTTGGCTGGGCTCAGGGGAGCTGAACACACGGAACTCACCTCCCCATAGCCACAAACCACCACCTGCTTCCCTCCAAACATCACATCCGTGGTCCTCTTCAGGCTGGGGGACAGAGAGAGACCCGTGTTGGGATCAGCCCAGCCCCCCAGAACCAGAGCCTGAGCCAAACCCACCCGTGGGGAGGTGCCAGGAGGGACAAGCTGGACTCACCCATCCAGGATGGACTCCCGGCAGCAGTACAGGTTGTCAAACTTCTGCTTGGTGACCGAGTCGTTCACGTTCATGGCCGGGACGCACAGCTTGCCAGCCTTGGAGAGCTGGTACAGCCTGGCAGGGGGCACGGGGGGGTCAGGGCAGGCAGCAGCAATGCCTAAGGGATGGCCCCAAGGATCAGCATTCCCGAATCCCCCACCTGTGCACGCCAGTCACGCTCTCCTCCACGATGCCTCGGATCTTCTTGAACACGCTGGGGTATTTCTTGTAAACCCAGTGGGTCAGGTCCCCACCATCGTCCAGGATCTGGGGAAAACACGGAGCAGTCAGGCCTCCCACTGGGGAAAGCACTGGCTGGGGACAGGACGGGGGGAAAAGAGGTGGAGAACATCTTGAGGCACTGCTGGAGGGCCAGGACTCCTGCCTGCAACTCGGGGTCTCCTCCCAGCACGGAGGGTTCCTTACCCCTGCCAGGAGCTGCTGGATCCTAACGGGATTTCCTGCCTCTCCTACTGCTCTGCAGCCTGGACACGTGAGCACAGGCAGCACTAACTAACCAGGCTGAGCTCAGCACGACACAACATCCACCCTGGAAGCAAACGGGAGAGGAGAGGCTGCGGGAGCTGCCACAGACACGGACACGGCCTGGGGACCACGGCCCACGGCCGAGGGGGACACGGGCACAGCAAGGGACAGATCCCGACTCTGGGAGAGCTCCCACAGGAGGAAAGAGGTCTTGTGTTTCTTGGATCACGGCAGCTCCATTGGGAGCTGTTCCCATGTCACTGGAATGTGCCAGCTGAGGGCATCGTCCCTGCAGCTCCATCAGGAGTTGTTCTCACACTGTTGGGATGTGCCAATGTCTCTCCAGCTCCCTCAGGAGCTGGGAAGTGCCAGCCCAGGACATTGTCCCAGCAGCTCCATCAGGAGCTGTTCCCGTGTTACTGGGATGTGCCAGCCCAGGGCATTGTCCCTGCAGCTCCACCAGGGGCTGTTCCCAGACCAGGACATTGTCCCTGCAGCTCCACCAGGGGCTGTTCCCAGACCAGGACATTGTCCCAGCAGATCCACAGGGGCTGATCCTAGGACATTGTCCCTGCAGCTCCTGAAGCTCCCATGGCCTTTCCCAGCCCATCCCCAGCTGTGTTTCTCCAGGGCCTGCCTGGAAGCCCCCCAGGATGGCAGGACAGCCCCAGGACGGCGGGAATGGTGAGGAGGAGGAGCAGGAGGAGCAGGAGCAGGAGGAGCCCTCACCATGTTGGGCTGCCAGCCGTCCACGTTGACACAGCGGTCGATGCACCACCAGAAATCATCCTCCGACTCCCCCTTCCAGGCGAACACGGCCACCCCTGGAAGAACAGGAGCATCCCTGGCACCTCCTGGGCCTGGCAGAGCCCCGCCCTGCCCCGCCAGCTCCGGGAAAACACGGGCACGGGAGCCAGGGCCGTGCCAGGGTCACGGCACAGCCAAGGACAGCGTTTACACCTGCCCGTCCCTCCCGAAATGACACTCCCTGAAAACAGTAATTCCCTAAAAGATAAATACGAAATGAGAAAAAAACAAACAAACAAACAAACAAACAAAAAAAGATAAAATAAATGAGATAAAAGTAAGTAAATGATAAAATAAATGAGAAGTGAAATGAGGTAAAAAATAAAGGAGAGGAAAGGCGTAAAATGAAAAATGTTATTATAAAATAAATGAATAATTATTAAGGTAAAAATAAATGCAGAAAAAATAAATTATTTTACTATTATTTTTAAATTATTTTTACATTAAAAATTATTTTAAAATTATTTTTATATTAAGAAATTTATTAAAATTAACAAATAAAAATTAAAATAAATCATAAATAATTAAATAAAATAAGGTAAAATAAATAAAATTAATTAAAAATAAATAAAATACTATTAAAATAAATATAAAAGAAATAAAATATTAAAAGAAACTATTAAAATAATAAATAAATTATGAATACAAATTTAAGTGAAATAAATTATAAATAATGATAAGGAAATACTTAAAATAAGATAAAAGTGAATAAAAATTAATTTAAATAAATAAATAAAATACACACGATTCAGCTAAATAATAATAATAAAATATTTCATTAAAACCAAATAATAATAAATAAAATAGGCTAGGCTTAAATGAAACCAAACCAAAATAAATTCCATAAATAAACATAGAATCAAAAACCTTAAGGAGGAAATTCCTGGAAATTCTCCCCCAAAGCACCCCCAGCACTCACCAGCCTCTGCCAGGGCAGCTGCCACCTCGTTCTGCGTGGAGTAAATGTTACAGGCGGCCCAGCGGCACTGGGCACCCAGGGCACAGAGTGTTTCAATCAGCACCTGGAAATGCAGGGATACAGGGATCAGGGTCAGGGATACAGGGATCAGGGTCAGGGATACAGGGATACCCCAGGGATCAGGAGCACCCAGGGCACAGAGTGTCTTGATCAGCACCTGCAGAGGGAACAGGGATATAGGGATACCCCAGGGATACAGGGATCAGGATCAGGGATCAGGATCAGGGATACAGGGATACCCCAGGGATCAGGGATACCCCAGGGATCAGCAATATATCCAGGGATCAGGGATACCCCTGGGATCAGGGATATATCCAGGGATCAGGGATACCCGCTGGGATCAGGGATACCCTGGTATCAGGGATACTCTGGGATCATGGAAGGCCTGGGGCAGCAGTGACAGGCACAGGAACCGATCCCAGCTCAGCTCCTGGGGAAACGCTGCAGCAGGATCTTCTCAAAACGTCGCTGGAGTTCTGAAGGTGCCTCATCCCTTTCCCAGGGCTGGGATTTTGCTCCCCAGGGCTGGGATTTTGTTCCCCAGGGAAAGGCCAGGCTCTCCCCCGGCACTCACCGCAGTCTGGGCCGTGATGTGGGTGCAGCCCACGATTTTGGCTCCAGCCAAAGGCTTCTCCCCCTGGGCTCGTTTCCTGAGTGAAATCAGAGCAGACATGTCTGCAAAAGGAAGAGAGGGTTTAATGCCAGAGCTGCCAGAGCTCCTCTCCCGTTTTTTGGGGCTCTCCCAGGATCCCTCCTCCTGTGCTGGAGCCCAAGAGGAAACTCCCCATGCCTGGCCCGTGCAGAGCAGGCCCAAACCACGGGGCCATTTGTCACTTGGAGAGAGGTGTGGGGCTGGCTGTGCCCTGGGAGGCACCCAGGGACAATCACAGGGACAGTCACAGCTCCAAACGGGCCTGGATTATCTCCCCCTTCCAACAGGAAAGCAGAGCCACCCAATCACCCCCTGGAAATGGGAACTCAGCTTCCCACGAGCCTCATGGGAAGAGCTTGGCACTCCCACTTTCCCAAAACACCCCAAGATCCTCGTCCACCCAAAGCCACCAAACAATCCAGCCCTGGAAAATGGCTGTGGCAGGGCACCAATGTTTGCTGGCACATACAGCTCTTCCCTAACTGATCTGGAGGGGAAAAAACAGGTTCTCCAAGGCTGGAGCAGGAGTGGGAATCCCCAGGGCTCAGCTCCTGGCCTGCAGAGGGCACAGGGCTGCCCCAGATTCCACCACCCCAACGTTCCGGCCGCACCTTGCTCAGCGATCTCGATCTCGCGGCGCCCGAACTCGGCCTGTTTGATGTTCTTCACGCAGAAGTTGCTGCTGCCCTTGGAGTTGGTTTGCTGCTTCTCCCGGGGGGACACCTCGTCATCGGAGCTGTCTGTGTATGAGGCAGCTGCACCAGAGAGGAGACACCCTCAGAGCTCAGCCCAGCCCAGGGACACCTCCCACCAGCCCAGGTTGCTCCAAGCCCTGTCCAGCCCAGCCTTGGGCACTCCCAGGGATGGGGCAGCCACAGCTTCTCTGGGAATTCCATCCCAGCCCCTCAGGGCCCTCACAGGGAAGGATTTCTTCCCAGTATCCCATCTAACCCTGGCAGTGGGAAGCCACTCCCTGTGTCCTGTCCCTCCACTCCTTGCCTTCTCCAGCTCTCCCGGAGCCCCTTTAGGCACTGGAAGGGGCTCCAAGATCTCCCTGGAGTTTTCTCTCCTCCAGGCTCAGCATTCCCAGTTCTCCCAGCCTGTCCACCCCTCCTGCTGTCCCCTTTGGATGCAGGATGGATCCCAGCCTGCCCTCCCTGGCTGCTGAGCAGAGCCCAGTGGGACTGCTTTCCCTCGTGGCTCAAACTACCAATCTCCTAAGGAATGCCAACATCCCAAAGGAATTTTGCACTCCTGTTCTCTACCACAGCAGGGTTATCAGTAATCAACTTGATTATTTACTGATAGTACATTACTCAAGTAATCAACTTGATTCCCTGAGCTGGTTCAGGAACCATCCCCTCTGTGTCCAAGCACAAAGAGTAGCACTGATCCCACCACGGGGTGTGAGCAGCACATTCCCAGCAGCACCAGGGTCGGATTTGGGATGTGGGACACACAGGGACAAGGAGCTGGCACCTACCAGAGCTGTAGCTGTCGGTGGAAGACTGGGAGATGGAGCGGGACAGGGAGCGCCGGCCCGTCTTGGTGGGGAATTTGGTGAACTCCTGCATGTCATCTGCAAACTGGATTTGCTGGGAGCGAAGGGAAGAAGTGCTGGATCAGGGAGGGTGATCCTCAGGGCATGACACCTGCCCTGGCTGCCCATGGGATCCCACCTGGGCTGCCCCGGTCACAAAAATCACCGTCGCCCAACACAACAAGGTGCAGATCCCAAAAATCCAACCCCCTGCCCTGGCCCCTCTGCCATCTGATCCAACCCCAAGGTTAAAGCAGATTTGACACAACACCTGAAGTGTGAAAAGAGCACCCAGGGACATCCCCTTTAACCCATTCCCAGCTCCAGGAGGCTCCTTCAAGGGTCACGTTTGTCCAACCCAAATCCACAACCCCGATTCCGCCGGATTTCTGCCCAAAAAAACCGCAGCATCAAGAAAGCTGGGATGGTCCCAGCAGATCCCTGGTGCTTCCAGGCTCCTCCCTGGGAGCAGAGCAACCCCACAGGTTAAAAACACGGCACATCCTTCCAAAACTGACACTGAAACCTCGGCAGGAGAGAACATTTCAACAAAGGGAAGTTGACATTGCGTTGGCTCCCACCCTCCTCGGCAGGAGATGTTTCCACTGGAAGAGGAGCCCCGCAAAAAAGCCACCCCTCCTTCTTCTCTGGGCCAGAGGCAACTCCAGAATCCAGCACCTTCCAGGGGATCATCACATTTCAGTTAATTAAAAGAGGGGGAAATCACCCAAAACCGCTGCGCTCACCCGGCATGAGGTCCTGCCAGGGAAGGACAAGGGAGATGAATGGGAATTAGGGAAAGCACCAGGGAATCCAGCCTGGAGCCCCCTCCCTGGAATGCTGCAGTGCAGGAGAGTCCCCCTGGTGTGACCTCTCCCCTGGGATTGTGTCTCTCCAGGATTTAATCCTGCCACTTGAACAGGGATGAGACAGCACGGCAGGAGTGGATTGACAACCCCCACCCAGGAGACCTCGAGGAGAGTCCTGGGGAAATCAAGAGGATGGGAAGAGACAGCCCAGAGAGGCCTCCAGGAGGGGCTTCCCATGCCACAGCCATCCCCAAAACCCCCTGAAAGCTTTGATGTGGGAAACAGCCCTGGAAGGGAGAGGAATGCAAGCGTTTAGTTGGGATGATCCATTCCAGAAAGGAGGAATCTGAGCGGGGCAGTTCGGGGTGGGAAATGGAGCCATGGATCCTGCAGAATCCCAGAGGATGGGTCAAAAGCAGCGTGGGATTCCCCTGGGAGGGGACACAGGGGCATGGAATCCACAGGAGGACAGGTGGGATGATGATGTGGGACTCCAGGAATGGCCCAGCACGGATCAGATCCATCACCACACCCAGACCAGCATCCCAGGCATTCCCAGGGGTGCTCCTGCTGAGAGGTTTCCAGCCAGCTCCTCCATCCTGGACATGGATCTGCTTCCCAGACCGGACTTCCCAGCAGATTCCAGTTGGATTCTGACACGAATTGCTTGCACTTGTGTGGGTGGAAGGAATGGGAACGGTAAATGGAGTGTGGAGGTTTCATTTCCCAACTGCTTCGAGGCAGTTTGGTGCAGAGGGAGGATCCAGAAGGAATCACAACCCCCATTCCCACGGGAAAGCACAGAAAGGATCCAGAGGGTCTCCCAACCCCCATTCCCATGGGAGAGCAATGGGAGGATCCAGAAGGAATCACAACCCCCATTCCCACGGGAGAGCAGAGAAAGGATCCAGAGGGCTCCACAACCCCCATTCCCATAGGAAAGCTGGAGGGAGAAGAGGGGCAGAAGCACTTCCAGGCAGGTACCAACAGTGTCTCCAGGTTTCCCAACAAGGAATGGTATTGCTTGGATCAATCCTTCCTGGACACTCCGGGAAAGGTTTGTGCCACCTCTGTGCTGGAATATTCCCAGTGGGCACTTCCAGGGAGGGAAAAATATCAGCAATTCCAGGACGAGATTCCCATCCCTTCCCACCAAGCTCTTCCTGTGGCAGAGGGAATAAAACCCACGCCCACAAAGCACTGGAACAGCCTCAAGGGTCAGCTTGAAGAGGGAACTTCTTCCAGCTCCAGGAAAGGTTTCCAGGGAAAAGGTGAATCCCAGAGGGAAAAATGAGACACAGACACCCCAGGGTGCTCCAGCCCAGGGTGCAGGTCTGTCTGTCTGTCCTGGATGTGGGAATCCTGGGATAGGGCACTTCCCTGCAGGGAAACAGGCTGCCTGGCTGATCCCACGGAGCAAAGTTTGGGATGCGTTGGGAAGGAGAGGATGGGGATGGAGGGCTCTTGTGCTCCCTGATCCCACAGCATCCCACGTGATGGATCTTCCCTCACCCCCTCAGAGCAGCAGGCATGGGTGCTGAGCCAGCTGCGAGGCACAGCCCCACTCTGCAGGAGAAACAGCCCCTGTGGAAAACACGGGAACAGCGGGATCGAATCCACGGGGAAAGGAAAACCACCCTCAGTAATCCTGGTCAGGGCTTTACCAGGTTCAGCCCAACTCCCCAGCTTAGCAAGCTCTGCCCTGGCTAAAATTACCCTCCAGCACCACGGGCAGGTCCCGAGTCCAACCAACCAGGGGCACATCCAAGCCCTGGGAGCCCGGGATGTTCCCGAGCGGAGGGAGGCCGGGAAAGGCTCTGGAGCAGAGTGCGTGACTGGAGCCCTCCCAGTGCTGCAGCTGCATTAACGAGGCAGAGAAAATCTCCTAATCCCTGGGCTGTCACTGGGACTGGGACGAGCAGCATTCCCAGCTGGAGGCAGCTCCACTGGGAATCGCATCCCAAACCTCGTCCCGCTGGGAGCGGCTTCTCCGAGCGGGTGGAGCGCGAGGGGGCTTTTTGAGAGCAAGGAAAATGTTGGGTTTATTTTTTTTTTTTTGTCCAAGAATTCTCGGTCGAGGAGGGAAAATGAGGCAGGACCCACTTCCCTGCACAGGAACGGAGGGCTTCCAGAGGGGCTTCCAGAGGGGCTTCCAGAGTTGCTATCCCAGAAAAGGAGGAGGATGAGGAGAAGGGGCTGGGGGGGAGCCAAAGGGGCTTGGAACAGCAGGGATTTGGGAGGTGTCCTGTAGGAAAACACCGGGATCCACCGTCTCCTGCCAAGTTCTCCCAGGGCACTGCTGCTCCCAGTCACACCTCCAAGCCAGGAGGACGCTCCGATCCCTTGGGAAAGCTGGAGCTGCTGTGCCCATTCCCACACGGATCCGACCCTTCCCAACAACAGCCGCTCGTTTTCAGCTCAATCCACCCCTTCCAGGGCTGGAGCTGAGGGAGCATCTGCTGGTACAGCCCCACATCCCAAAAAGGGCCCAGATGAGGCACCAGGGCCCCCTGGATGCTCCCAACACCAACTCCCTTGCCTGGAGCATCCCAAACCTCAGGGAAGCTGAACAAGGTGCTCCTCCCAGGGTTCTTAAGGATGAATCCTGTGGGAGCAAAGCCCCGGAGCAGCAGCAGAGTGTCCCCAGCACCCACAGCCTCGGCTGGTTAATGATTATGGCACAGGGAGGGCAGAGATTGCGGGTGTGGACGGGCACCCTCGGCCGGGCGTGCCATCCTCCATGGCACCTTCCCAAGCCCCCACACCGAGACCCCAAAAACCCCAGGATCCCAAGGACCTTCCCAGCAAGTCAGCCCAGAGAGCAGCTTTTGGAGCTGTCAGGGTAAGGGAAGTTCCACCCTCTGGCTCCGAACCCCAGAGGGATTTGTAAACACGGCCGGATTTGCAGATGCCGCCGGCGCGTCCCTCTCACGGGGGAACAGCCCCACTTCCACCTGAAAACTCACTTTAACGCTCCTTCCATCCCAGAGCAGCTCCAGAGAGGCTGCTGAGCTCCTCTGCCGTGCTCCACACCCCTGATTCCATCCCCGGGGCACAGCAGGTTGCGGAAGGAGGGTTTGGAAAGCATCCACCAGCTCCCAGCTGACCCAGCTCAGCCAGGCACAGGCTCCACAGAGGAAGGACACGTGCCAGGAGCAGCTCCAGGCTCTATTCCCACCAGCCCCAGGTTTGCCTCAGCAACCCCTGGTTTTAATTGTTACTTTTAACTGGGGACAACGTGAGCATCGGCACATCCAGAGTGGGGGGGAAAGTGCCCTCCCAGCCCCTGCTGTCCTGGATAATAATGGGAAGGGGGGTGCAGGAGCAGCGCCCCCCCCGTCACCCAAGATCAGCAGGACACCCCCAAACCCCTCCAGATTCCGGAGTTTCACATCCAGGGACGTGAGGACATGGCCCAGCCGCCCGGGGACAAACAGCAAAACAGGAGCGGAGCAACCCCCTGGAAAGGCAGGGAGAGACTCCAAACCCCACCCTCCTGGAAGGATCCACAGTCCTGGGAGCTCTCCCGTGGCCCCAGACTATTCAGAGCAGCCAGTTCCCCTTGTTTAATCTGTCCTCCCAAACAAACCCTCCCCTGGCAGAGCTGGGGGTGCCCAGCGCTCCCTGGCGTGACCTGTCTTTTAAGTTCATCATTTCTCTGTCATTCCTGGGAATTCAGCCAGACTAGGAATGTTCCATGGCTCCAATGAGCATCATCCTCATCACCCTCCTCCTCCCCAGCCCCGCAGCACTCAGATCAGGGCTGGGTTTTGCACGGCCAGGGCACCTCCAGGTTTCGGGTTCCAAGGATTTCTTATCTGCAGAGGGACCTTTTCCTCCTGGGAATGCTGTGGTTTTCCCAAGAAGGAGCTGGGTCTCTAAAGGACAAGTTTGTTTTAATCCACTTATTTGCAGAATGAAGGTACCCCAGGGACTCTTCAGTCCCATCAGCAGAGGGGAGAAAAAAAACCCCAGAAAATCAGTAATTTCCTCCTTTCCAGGTCAAACAGAGGAGAGGAACAGGTTCCCTTGTGCCACCTCCCCAAGGGAGGGCACAGACCCTTCCAGGATGTTCCCACAGTCCCCCACAGTTCCCAACCAGAGGAAAAGAGGACGTTCCTGACCCGTTTCCCCCTTGGATGAGGGGCTGAGGCCAGCCCAGCTCCCTGTGCGTGTTCCCCGTGCTGGCCCCGGGGTTGGCACCAGTCCTGCCGGGGCCGTGCCAGGGCGCTGGGTTTGTTTGGAG